TGCAATATTTCTCATGCTACCTTGTCTTATTTTGCATGACTACATTGAAGGGCTTGGGCCTACAATATACTGTCTTCTATCTCCCATTTGATGTTCAATAAATACATAATGTCTGTATCATATACACTGTCTAAGGGATCTGACAGGAAATATAATAAATTCATATGAATAGAACCCCATCATTTTCTAATTCACATCTGCAAGTGACAGGGCAGATGCCTTCCAAATACAAATAATTTCATTTCCTACCTGTAGAACATATCTCTTGTTTTTGCCCACACCATATGTCCTCTCTTCTTTTGTGACAATAACTCTATTTTCGTTGGGGACCCACCATCTACCTCTATATTAAGTCTCAATGGGAACATCTTTCAATACTCTTCACCCTCCTCTGGCCTTGGGTTCGTCATGGAACTAAAAAGATCTGGGCAATTCAACTCTGTCGGCAGTAAAGCCAAGGGAGACCCTGGTTAACGCAGATCAATTCCAGGGCAAACCCTGACAGGACTTGAGCTGCCCCTGCTGGGTTCTTTCAGAGGCCTGTGTTCATCTGTCCCATTTCAGAGAAATGCCTGCCATCCTTAAATTAGCCAGAGTTGGTTTCACTGCTTGCAAACAATTAACCTCCACTAAAAAGCCTTCAACTTTTTGAAGTCATTGAAGTGTCTGGCCCTATGGCATGGCAGATCATTTTTAGTTATTTACTGAATGGTAGAATTCATATCCATAAAATACCAAAGCAGGCAACTTGCTCAGATTGAAAGTGATTTAGCTATGTAACTGTTGCTACAGATCCAAGAACTATGGGATAGCTTAGCATCAATGAAGTAGGTTTTAAGAAAAAAAATAATAAAAAAAGAACAATTTACTGCATGCATTTTTGTAAGTCTCTCAATTTACTTATTCATTTTATTTCCATATATTGTCAGTTGATGAATGCCACACTTAAAAATTTAGAATCAAATTGTCTTTAAAGTTTATTTCGTTCTCTCAGAGATACGCTTTTAAAAAATATGTTTATTGATTTCAGAGATGAAGGGAGAGGGACAGATAGAAACATCAATAATGAGAATTAGTGATTTGCTGCCTCCTGCACGACCCCAACTGGAGACCACAACCCAGGCATGTGCCCTTGACCAGAATTAAACCTGGTACCCTCTGAGCCAACCTGGCCAGGGCCACATTGTCTTTAAATGAGTCTCAAATCTACTTCCAGGTAAAAAAGGAGAAATTTTTAGTCTTATTAGGAATTGTTTCATCATTATTTACTCAAGATTAATTGAACAATGGTAATTTTTTAAATATATTTTTTAATTGATTTCAGAGAGGGAGAGAGATAGGAACATCAATGATGAGAGAGAATCATTGATGGGCTGCCTCCTGCAAGTCCACTACTGGGCGGGGGATCAAGCCTGCAATGCAGGCATGTGCTCTTGGCTGGAATTGAACCTGGGATCCTTTAGTCCACAGGTCAATGCTCCATCCAGAGCCAAACCAGCTAGGGCTCCATGGTAACTATTTACCATCTAAGCCCTCATAGGGTTGGAATTGTGTTTCAAGTCTTGCCTGATGGACCTCATTCAGTGACAAAATCACAATATTTCTGTTAATTTATTAATCAAAATGAGTTTTTAATGTCTCTCAACTTTGGATTTTTCATGGTCACTCATTTTATTTTGTGCCATCAGGGTAACTCAGTTAAATCTAGGCATAAATATGTTTCCACTAAAAATGTTGCAATATTTTTAAGAAAAGATTTTTTTGCAATTATGCTATTGCTCAATACACTGTAAAATAGGGCACTGTATTCTAGTAATCTGCTTTGGAACCATCTAAGGAAGGAGACTCAAAAATTCTTTCATTCCTACCATACCTGCCTAAATTTAAAACAACCCATTGTTTTTCTCCAAAGTCGGTTTCCTAGAAACCAAGATAGAGGCATAGGTAAACACCGGAGTTTGCTGCCTTGAACAACCACTTCAAAAATACACTAAAAGACAGAACGGACATCATGCAGAACCACAGGAAGGCTGGCTGAGGGGAAATTCTACAATTAGAAGGAAAGAGAAAAGCATACCGAGACTCAGAGGAGGCGCAGTGTGGAAGTAAAATGCTAAGGTGCGGAGGTGCATGCGGAGAGGGCTGGTGGCTGAGGGCGCGGTTGTCGTTTTCAATCAGGAGGGAGTCTCAGGCTCTGAGCTCCAGTTCCGGGTGAGTCTCTAGGGACCCAGACTCATATGGGAGAAGCTGGACTGTCTAGCATCGGTCGGAACTCGAGGGCAGCTTTCTCTCTGAGGGGGTTTCATCGATTACTGGGACATTGAGAAGCAGAGCCTCTGAGGGTAGGACTGAGAGCAGCCATAACAGCTAGCCCCGCCCTGTTGATCCCGTGGGACCCGCCCCGCCCAAGCCCTGCAGGGAGGCTTTTGCTGGATAGCCTCAGGCAAAGGCTAGATTAGCACCTCCCTAGAGATCCAGGAGCCAGGAAATCCAGAGGTCACAGTAGGACCATCCAGTTTGCAGCTCCGTGGAACCATAAAGGACACACTCAGGGGGCAGACTCAGTGAGCACCAAAGCCCCCTTGAAGCAAGTCTTGCCCCAGAGGGGTGTCTCCAGCACAGAAGTTCTCCCACTGCAGACACAGCTGATTCTCACAGCCAATTATCCTGGAGGTCAATTCTTCCCAGTGATACCTACAACAATCAAGGCTTAACTACAATAAGACTGTGCACAAAGACCACAAGGGGGTGCACCAAGAGGGTCCTCCTCAGGAAATTGGGGAGGCTGAACCACTGGGCCCTAGAGGACACGTAGCACAGAAAACCACTTTATCAACACAGGGAAGCATATAAAATGCGGAGACAAAGAAACAGGTCACAAATGACAGAAATGGAGGAAAGCAAACTACTGGATATAGAGTTCAAAACCACACTTTAAGGTTTTTCAATAATTTTCTAGAAACTGCCGATAAACTTAATGAGATCTACAAGAAATCTAATGAGATCCTCGAGGTTGTGATAAAGGACCAACTAGAAATTAAGCATACACTGACTGAAATAAAGAATATTATATAGACTCCTAACAGCAGACTAGAGAATTGCAAGAATCAAGTCAACGATTTGAAATACGAAGAAGCAAAACACACCCAACCAGAAAAGCAAAATGAAAAAAAAAATCCAAAAATACAAAGATAGTGTAAGGAGCCTCTGGGAGGGCCTCAAGCGTACCAACATCCGAATTATAGAGGTGCCAGAAGAAGAGAGAGAGCAAGATATTGAAAACCTATTTGAAGAAATAATGACAGAAAACTTCCCCCACCTGGTGAAAGAAATACACTTACAAGTCCAGGAAACGCAGAGAACCCCAAACAAAAGGAATCCAAAGAGGACCACACCAAGACACATCATAATTAAAATGCCAAGAGCAAAAGACAAAGAGAGAATCTTAAAAGCAGCAAGAGAAAGAAACTCAGTTACCTACAAGGGAGTACCCATACGACTGTCAGCTGATTTCTCAACAGAAACTTTGCAGGGCAGAAGGGAGTGGCAAGAAATATTCAAAGTGATGAATGCCAAGAACCTACAACCAAGATTACTTTATCCAGCAAAGCTATCATTCAGAACTGAAGGTCAGATAAAGAGCTTCACAGACAAGAAAAAGCTAAAGGAGTTCATCACCACCAAACCAGGATTATATGAAATGCTGAAAGGTATCCTTTAAGAAGAGGAAGAAGAAGAAAAAGATAAAGATACAAATTATGAACAACAAATACACAGCTATCAACAAGTGAATCTGAAAATCAAGTGAATAAATAATCTGATGAACAGAATGAACTGGTGATTATAATAGAATCAGGGGCATAGAAAGGGAATGGACTGGCTATTCTTGGGGGGGAAAGGGGTGAGGGGGATGCGGGAAGAGACTGGACAAAAATCATGCACCTATGGATGAGGACAGTGGGTGGGGAGTGAGGGCAGAGGGTGGGGTGGGAACTGGTTGGAGGGGAGTTATGGGGGGGAAAAAGGAACAAATGTAATAATCTGAACAATAAAGATTTAATTAAAAAATAAAATTAAAAAAAAAAAGTCGGTTTCCTGGTGATGATAGCCACAGGTCTGTCAATGGGATGCTGGCAGCTGGCCTGCCTGTTGCAGTGCTCCAGGTACCACAGCCCTTCAGAGCCGAGGCAGGAGACCTGCAAGAAGGGGAGATTTGCCCCATGTGCCCCAGCAGGATGCACACAGAGCCAGGACTGTGAGGCCAGGTGCACGTCAGGTGAAGCGCTCAGTTCTGGGAGCAGATGTGCTCTGCATGTGGGCTGGGCACCTCCATGGGCTCTGGCACCTCAGTAGCCACCACCCAGCAGCCCACCCTGGAGCATACCTGGGAAAATAAGGCAGAAGCCAGCTGGACAGGACACCACCCCACCCTAGTGCCTCCTCCTGCAATGCTGTGCTCCAGGCGAGGCCAGCTCATTAGGCTTCACTCCATCATGTCTTCAATAATGTCTTCCAAGATGTGTAACAAAGCTGAAGGTTCTCCCACATTGCTTACATCATAAGGTTTTTCCACAGTATGTGTTCTTCCATGCTTTCTAAGAGTTTTGGATAAACGAAAAGCTTTACCACATCCCTTACATTCATAGAGCTTTTCTCCACTGTGTGTGCTTTCATGTCTAAGTGTGTGCAGGAGGCAACCAATTGATGTGTTTCTCTCATCAATATCGCTCTGTCTTTTTCTCTAATTTCCACTCTCAAAGGAAAAATGTCCTCAGGTGAGGGTTAAAAAAGAAAAAAAATTAGGATCAAAGGCTTTTCTACAATCTTTACATGATAGGACTTATTTTCAGTGTGAGTTCTTTCTTTTCTTTTTTTTTTTTTATACAAGGAACTCAGCTTTTTTTTTTTAAATATATTTTATTGATTTTTTACAGAGAGGAAGGGAGAGAGATAGAGAGCTAGAAACATCGATGAGAGAGAAACATCGATCAGCTGCCTCCTGCACATCTCCCACTGGGGATGTGCCCACAACCCAGGTACATGCCCTTGACCGGAATCGAACCTGGGACCCTTCAGTCCGCAGGCCGACGCTCTATCCACTGAGCCAAACCGGTTTCGGCCAGTGTGAGTTCTTTCATTCATTATGACTTCTCCCCACTAGAAGTGTTTTTGTGGATTTGAAGGTAACTCGGATGAATAAAGGGTTTCCCCTCTGGCTTACATTAATAGGGTTTTTCCTTATTATGAGTTCTTTCATGATATTGGACGGAACTTGGATAAGACAAAGCTTTACCACATTCCTTAGATTCATAGGGTTTTGTTCTTATTATGAATTCTTCCATGATATCGGAGGTCACTTGGATAAGAGAAAGTTTTACCACATTCCTTACATTCATGAGGTTTCTTTCCATCATGATTTTTTTCATGTTTTCCAAGAGAGGTGAGAAAACTGAAGGCTTTCCCACATTGCTTACATTCATAGGGTTTTTCCTCATTATGAGTTCTTTCATGATGTCGGAGGGAACTTCGATAAGAGAAAGCTTTATCACAATGGTCACATTCATAGGGTTTTTCCTTATTATGAATTCTTTCATGATATCGGAGGTCACTTGGATAAGAGAAAGTTTTACCACATTCCTTACATTCATGAGGCTTATTTCCATCATGATTTTTTTCATGTTTTCCAAGAGAGCTGAGAGAACTGAAGGCTTTCCCACACTGCTTACATTCATAGGGTTTCTCCCCAGTGTGCATTCTTTCATGATATCTAAGAAAAGTGGAATGTCTGAAAGCTTTCCCACATTGCTTACATTCATAGGGTTTTTCCTCATGAGTTCTTTCATGATGTCGGAGGGAACTTCGATAAGAGAAAGCTTTATCACAATGGTCACATTGATAGGGTTTTTCCTTAGTATGAGTTCTTTCATGATATCGGAGGTCACTTGGATAAGAGAAAGTTTTACCACATTCCTTACATTCATGAGGCTTCTTTCTGTCATGAATTCTTTTATGTGTTCCAAGAGAGCTGGGAGAAATGATGGCTTCCTCACATTCCTTATATTCATAAGGTTTCTCGCCTGTATGTGTTCTTTCATGAATTCTTAGACAAGTGGAACTGAAAGCTTTCCCAGATTTCTGACATTGATAGGGCTTTTCTGCAGTGTGTGCTCTTTCATTTTCTCCAGAGTACTTGGGCGAACTGAAAACTTTGCCACGTTGCTTACTTTGATATGGTTTCTCTCTGCTATGAGTGTTTTTGTGAAGTTTAAAGTAACTGAGACAAATAAAGACTTTCCCATATTGCTTACACTCATACGGTTTCCTAGGAATATGCATTTTTTCATGATTTCTAAGGGAATCTGAATAGTGGAAAGCTTTCCCACTGGGTCTGCCTTCATGGCTTTGAATATGTTGGTGATGCTTGAAAGCTTTCATAGGTTCCTTACAATTAAAAGGGTTTTCTTCATATTCCTGACACAGGTATAGTTTGAGTCCAATGTGAGAGCTCAGGTGGTTATTCAAGGATAAATAATGCATGAAGATTTGCCTACACAACCTGGATTTAGGTTGCTTTATCTCAGTAGGTGTTTCCTTCTTTTCATTATGATTTGGTACCTGCCTGAAGTTTTCTCTGTATTGACTATCATCCTTCCTTGTACAACGTCTCTCTTCCATATGACTGCTGTAAAAATTAGAAACATATTATTAATACTCTCTTAACAATTTAATATTTATTAGTAGTATGACAATGACATTTTTACTGTTTTTAAGGAAAGTGCCAGGTTTCTGTACATTCTGATTTTTAAAAGTGGATATCCTAAAACCTCTGAAATAGACTAGGTCATAGATATTATGAAAACACTTATATTCATTGATGGTACTTCTGTATATTGTTTCCAAGTGTAATTATTTTTTTATACAATAAACATTAGGTCATACTTCAGAAAAAAACATTTTGATGAGATTATTCTAAGATTCAATAAATTTCAAACTAGGCTGATATAACTGGATTACCTGTTTTTAAGATTGTTTTGTGGCTAAGTGGTAGAGCATGAACCCACCCACCAGGGGGTTACAAGTTCAATTCCCCAAAAGAAACCAAGGCTAGACTGCAGACTTATTAACCCCAGTACAGGGCATGCAGGAGGCAGCCATTCAATCTTTCTATCTCTCCCCCTCACCTCCATACATTGAAATTAATAAAAACATATTTTCGAACCACTGGTGTGGTTCAGGGGTTGAGCACTGACCTCTGAACCAGGAGGTCACAGTTGGATTTCCAGTCAGGGCACATGCCCAGGTTCTGGGCTTAATTTTGAGTGTGGGGTGTACAGGAGGCAGCCGTGAATAATTATCTCTCGTCATTGATGTTTGTCTCTCTTTCTCCCTCTAACTACATCTCTGAAATAAATAAAAACATATTAAATATATAAATAAATACAGTGGGGCCTTGACTTATGAGTGTCCCGACTAACAAGTTTTTTGAGATACCAGCTGTCTCTCGGCCGATTTTTTGCATTGAGTTGATAGAGTAACTTGAGTTAATGAGCTCCTTAATGAGCTCTGTCTTGGAATGAATTAAACTCATAAGTCAAGGCCCCACTGCATATAAAAACCTATTAAAAAAAAAGATGCTCTAAATGCTTTCTCATGTCAATGCGACTCACCTAAGACTCATACCATGATTTTCATACTGATCTTCACTGTCAGGACCTTCACATTTTTCTTCTAAAATACATGCTAGAAAAAGCATTATAAAGTATTAAGGAATATAAGAAATCATTAAGTTGTAGGTACACAATGAGCTGTGATCATTCCTAATTTATTTACCAACTAGAGGCCCAGTGCATCAAATTCGTGCACGGGGGGTGGTGGGGTTGTGTCCCACAGCCCAGCCTGCACCCTCTCCAATCTGGGACATCCGTCTCACAATCCAGGACTGCTGGCTCCCAACTGCTCGCCAGCCTTCCTGCCTGATAACCCCTAACCGCTTCTGCCTGCCAGCCTAATCACCGCCTAACCACTCCCCTGCCAGCCTGATCGATACCTAACTGCTCCTCTGCCAGCCTGGTTGCCCCCAACTGCCCTCCCCTGCAGACCTGGTCACCCCCAACTGCTATCCCCTGCTGGGCCGGTCACCCCTAACTTCCCTCCCTTGTCAGCCTGGTCGCCCCTAACTGCCATTCCCTACCAGCCTGATTGCCCCTAAGTGCCTTCCCAATGGCCTGGTCACCCCTAACTGCCCTCCCCTGCAGGCCTAATTACTCCCAACTGCATACCCCTGCTGGCCTGGTCTCCCCCAACTGACCTCCCCTGCAGGCCTGATCAGCCCCAACTGCACTCCCCTGCCAGCCATCTTGTGGTGGCCATCTTATGTCCACATAGGGGCGGCCACCTTTGACCACATGGAGGCGGCCATCTTCTGTGTTGGAGTGATGGCCAATTTGCATATTACCTCTTTATTATATAGGATGTATTCCCTTCCCATATTTTAGTTCTTGAAACAGCATTGATGAGCAAGCAACACTAATTTTCTAATTGACTAAATAAGTAATAAATTGTTGCAGGGCAGACTCACACTGTGGTTGATGGTCAACCTATGAAATGGGAGGTCACAGGTCAAATCCCAGTAGGACTAGTTTTCAGGCTAGATCCCCAGTGTGAGGGGCACAAGAGGTAGCCAATCATTATTCTCTTTCATCATTGATATTTCTCTCATTCTCCCCCTCTCCTTCCTCTCTAAAATCAATAAAAATATTATTTAAAAAAAGAATTTGTGATACCTACCTACTGATGCCAGGTTCCAGAAGGTTTCCAGCATCACATCTGCGTAGAGTTTCTTCTGGGTCGGATCTAGGAAAGCCCACTCCTCCATGGTGAACTCCACATTAACATCCTCAAAGGCCACCAAGTCCTAAAGCATCCCACATACGCATATAGGACCATGGGTGAGACAGACAGCACTGGGGAATCTATACATAATTCATAAGACGTTCACATAGGACACGTGGTGCCCAACATTCAATCTATGACTTGATTATAAGACTATTATTTATTTGCCACACTCACTTCCTCATGAACACATGGAATTTATTGATATTGTGATCACTTCAAGTCTTCATTGTTCTCTAATGTCAGGGTAAAGAGCACCTTGAACAACTTCTATATTCATAAATTAAAATACTCCTATTTTAAGCCTATCGATTCCTTGTGAGAAGACTCATCTCCATTATAACCACCATTTGATACAGCAGTCCATGAAGCATACTGTCATATCTGCATAAAGTTTTAATGACTATTGTACAGAGTGCCTGAGCTGTGGGTGGACGTCTGAGTCCAGCAGCATCAGCAAAGCCATGTCCTAGAGCAGTAATGGCGAACCTTTTGAGCTCGGTGTGTCAGCATTTTGAAAAACCCTAACTTAACTCTGGTGCCGTGTCACATATAGAAATTTTTTGATATTTGCAACCATAGTAAAACAAAGACTTATATTTTTGATATTTATTTTATATATTTAAATGCCATTTAACAAAGAAAAATCAACCAAAAAAATGAGTTCGCGTGTCACCTCTGACACGCGTGTCATAGGTTCGCCATCACTGTCCTACAGATATACCTTGCCAAAGGCAGGGATGTCATCAGTCCTGACCTTTAGCTCAGGTGCCAGGGGGTGGGTGTAATTATCTAAGTTCAGCCAGGTGCCAGGTGCAGATGCAATTATCAGGGTCCAGTCAGGCCTGACGATTATGAGACTCCACAAGAATGAATATTGCAGCTTGATCTTTAAGCATGATTTCACATAATTTCCTTTGTTTTACACTGTAGTAAAACTTTCTGGTATCATGCTGTATATAACAAACACACTGCACTAGCTCTGGGTCACTGTCTCTCCATCCGAGAACAGTGTCCCACCTGGTCTCAGCTTTCCCTACTATCCCTGTGTTTGTCTCTTTCTTTTTCTCAATTCCCAGTCACCCCTACTCAGGACTCGTCCACTCTCTAGCCGTGCTGGCTGCAGCTATGAGAGAACACTCATATCTGGTGCCCGAACAGGGACCTGAATACAGGGAAACTCTTAAACGTCAGGTGAGGGGATGGCTCCGAGGAGTGGACGCACAACAAACTCAAGAAGTAAGGTAAGTAATGGATTGAAATAGCTGGGTGTAAAACATGGGAAATTCAGGGTCTCAGGAAAGGGATCTCTACTCTCAAATGCTTCAAACTATGGTCAAAGCTCAAGGATGCTCTGGTAAGCATAGTCAAATTCTTGATTTCTTAAATTTTGTTAATGAAACTTGTCCTTGGGTTCCTGCTGAGGGAACCATCAACTTTCAAACCTGGAAAAATGCCGGAAAGCAGTTGCGTGACCAATACACAGCAGAAGGTACAGGGAAGATTCCTATTCCTACATTCACACTATGGTCTCTAATTCATGACTGCCTTGATCCAGCGCAGAAGAATTTAAGGATGTCTAAGCAGGGTGTGGCCATGACTTTACAGCCTATAGTAGAGTGTGAATCTCTAAAAACACCACCTGCCACTTCTGCACCACCTCTTCCTCTTCCCATTGCTCCTGTGACCACAGTCAAGAGCCGCCTGATAAAGTTTTACCTCCTAATTATGAGCAGGAGATAGAGTTTGAGGTGGAGAGGGACAAGCGTCACCGTGAGCGGGATGACTCAGAAAATGAGAAATGTTTTGCTTGAAGCCGCCCTGCCATTATGGCCGAAAGTGAAAGCGACTTCATATTTCACTTTACTGGAGGCTGAAGCTACTTGTAGTGGGATAAACCTCATAGAAGGAATTGAAGGAATTTCCAAGCAGCTGCCAAGAATTCTTTCTCTTCTTCCCAGGCCACCAAAAACTCTTAGTTAGTGAGATTTCTGTCTACATGTCTGTATTGTAATTTTTTTTTTAAAAATATATTTTATTGATTCCTTACAGAGAGGAAGGGAGAGAGAGATAGTTAGAAACATCGATGAGAGAGAAACATCGACCAGCTGCCTCCTGCACATCCCCCACTGGGGATATGCCCACAACCCAGGTATATGCCCCCGACCGGAATCGAACCCGGGACCCTTCAGTCCGCAGGCCGACGCTCTATCCACTAAGCCAAACCGGTCTCGGCGTCTGTATTGTAATTTTAATTTGCCTTTCTCTGATTCATGATTTTCCTGTGCTGTGCTAAAATTTTAAGATTCTAAAATTAATTTGAAAATGTAAAATTTATGAAGGTCACAACCCAGGGAAGTTTAAACAAAGGCCAGCTAAATCCAAGCCGGCCTATGATTAACAAACCATTATCTTTCCCACCTGAGGTAAAATGGGAGGGGAGAGAAAAAAAGAAAGAAAGAAAGAAGGGGTGGAGGCTTTTATTTATAAGCGGGGAAGCAAGAGGTTTTTGTCCCTGAGCCTGGCAGAATGAGGTTGCTGAGTGCTTCTTAAACTACATCAGAATATTTAGCAGGGTAACTTTAAAATATAATATTTTAAAATGTTGCCCTAACCGGTTTGGCTCAGCGGATGGAGCGTCGGCCTGCGGACTGAAGGGTCCCAGGTTCGATTCCGCTCAAGGGCATGTACCTGGGTTGCGGGCACATCCCCAGTAGGGGGTGTGCAAGAGGCAGCTGATTGATGTTTCTCTCTCATTGATGTTTCTAACTGTCTAGCCCTCTCCCATCCTCTCTGTAAAAAATCAATAAAATATATAAAAATAAAAATAAACTGAGTTTTTTTAAAAAAACTGTGGTACATCTACACCAGTGATGGCTAACCTTTTGAGCTCGGCATGCCAGCATTTTGAAAAACCCTAACTTAACTCTGGTGCCGTGTCACATATAGAAATGTTTTGATATTTGCAACCATAGTAAAACAAAGATTTACATTTTTGATATTTATTTTATATATTTAAATGCCATTTAACAAAGAAATATCAACCAAAAAATGAGTTCTCATGTCACCTCTGACATGCATGTCATGGGTTTGCCATCACTGATCTACAGAATGGAATACTATGCTGCAGTAAAAAAGAAGGAATTCTTGCCATTTGCAACATCATGGATGGAACTGGAGAGCATTATGCTAAGTGAAATAAGCCAGTCAGAGAAAGATAAATATCACATGATCTCACTCATATGTGGAATATAATGAACAACATAAACTGATGAACAGGACAGATCCAGAGACAGAGAAGCAGCGATCAGACTGTCAAACCTCAGAAAAAAAATAAAGGAGGGTGGGAGTAAAGGGTGAGATCAATCAAAGGACTGGTATGCATGCACATAAGCCCAACCAATGGACACAGACAACAAGGGGATGAGAGCATGAGTGTGTGTGTGTGGGGGGGGGGGGGGCGGGGGGGGTGTTTAATGGGGGGATGAGGACACATATGTAATACCTTAACCAATAAAGACATTAAAGATTGAAAAAAATTTTTTTAAAAGAAAGAATATTAGAGTAGAAATACTTAATGAAAGTTATGAGGCATGGTTATGCATTTTGAATGAAAAAGAAGGTGGTTTCTAAAGGTGGTTATTTCTGAAAGTTATAAGAATGTTTCTGAAAGTTGTAAGAATGTCCATGGAAGTTATAAGAAGTCGGTAGAAAGAAATGTTAAAATGAAATTGATTAAATCACACAGGCCTCACATGCCCTACATCAGTGGTTGGCAAACTCATTAGTCAACAGAGCCAAATATCAACAGGACAACAACTGAAATTTCTTTTGAGAGCCAAATTTTTTAAACTTAAACTATATAGGTAGGTATATGGTTATTAACTTAATTAGGGTACTCCTAAACTGGCCTTTGCTAAAAATGTCCTCAATCTGATTGAGGTATGCTCGCTGAGGTTGACCCCTTCCAACTCTCCCATCCACACTCGTCTTGTATACTTGTTTCGTCTATCGCTAGCACTAACCACTGCACAATGAGACTGCTGACTGACTCACTCACTCAACGCGTGCATATATGGCACACGTCTCCCGTCGCCCCACCGACCACCATCCCCCACTTCTTCTAACGCCACTTCTTCAAAATAGACTCGCCCAGGCCGAAAACCGACTTCTGCGCGTGGGCCACCAAGTTTCAATCGCACGGTACCTGCGAGCCCACATGTGGTATTTTGTGGAAGAGCCACACTCAAGGGGCCAAAAGCCTCATGTGGCTCGTGAGTCTAAGTTTGCCGACCACTGGTCTAAAAGACTCCTGCTGTTCTTTCCCCTAAGCAAGGGTGACCCTGCCTGAAGCAATCCTCTCTACCTCTCAAAGCCACTTCCTTTCTGCCAATTGTAAAAGCCTTCCATCATGAACAGCTGCTCTGAGATTCTATTTACTAGATGGGATGAGGCCCAATTCGTGAACGGGAATCAAGCCAGTTAACCTTCCAACTTACGCAGCTGAAGTTTGTTTTTAACCGTTTGAAAAGCAGCGCAAAACAAATAGCCGATAAACATGCTGTGACTCAGAGAAGGGAAGATGGCGGTTAGGATTCAGGGGAGAGACTGGAAATGCAGGCATTTGCTGCAGAGCTAGGCCTGGGGGGCAGGGGGTGGACTTGAGAGCCTGTTCCACAAACATCAAAACTCAGGAGAAAACGGGGTCCTTCTGGGGAGAAGGAGGGACAGGGGACCCCACAGACCACAGCTCATCCTAAAGTATGGTAGCAATCATCTCAGGTAGACACTGTAGTTTAACTCTAACCCTGCTGTTTGGCTTAACAATAGAAAAGTTACTTTGATTTTCTGAATTGTATAAATCATCCCATTTGATTGAATACCTTATTGACTGTAATGTTATTATCCCATTGATTGTGATCTTACTGGTTTTAGAAAGCACATTACTTTGTACCTGGGAACCAGGACAGCACAATTATCCCAAGACCTGGGGGTTCCAGATAATGCTTCCCTGTCAACTCAGTGGTCCCAAGACCAGGACAGCACAATTACTCTAAATTGCCTCAATGGCTCTAGATAATGTGTTCCTGGTAACTCAGTGGTCTCAAGACCCAAGGGCTTTAGATAATGTGTTCCTGTCAACTCAGTGATCCGGAGACCCAAAACTATAATTAACATGCTTAATTCTGCTTCTGTAAACTGCTTTTTTGCGAACTAGGTTCCTCATTCCAAACCCTGGGAAGTAATCAATACCTTTGTGATTTTTGCCTATATAAATCTGGTGTTGCGGCCATCTTATCACTTAGAGATTTGGGAGAGCAAAATGCCTCCTAGGAGTCCCGGATTGCAATAAATGTGACTCTTTAATTCAACTTCTTGAGGCGTCCTTCTGTGATTCGCGGGGTACATTATAACACTCCCATGAACGAACCGCGGAGACCGAGTCCCCATTGCCTCCAATGACCCTCCACGTGGTCACCGCACCGACTGCGGAGCCGGGGACACACTGGACGCCCGGGTGCCGGCTGGGCCCCGCCCTGCGAGCCCGAGGGGCCTGCAGTTTCAGCGGAGCCCCCGGCGCCTCGGGTCCGCGGGCTCCGGACCTGACCGTGGGGAGACGCTCCCGCCACGGCGGCTCCACCCGCGCCTCCTCCCCGTCCCCGCGCCCGGCCGCACACTCACCATTTTTGGTTCCTGGGCCTCCCGAGTCCCGCCTGAAGCTCCCACCACCTTACTGGTCGCAGATGGACCAATGGCGGAAGTGCAAGGAAGATGTGACGTGAGTGAACTTCCGCATAGTAGCAGAGGGTAGCCCCACCCACCTGACCCCCAATAGCCCCACCCACCTGGCGCGCAGCTCCCGAAAGGACAGACACTTCTCACGACATCGCCCCCTAGCGCCTGAGGTGCACAGGCCTGAGCCCAAAGCAGCCAGATCTCCTGTCCAGGGACCTTTGCACGGAGAGGCAGCGCTGAGAGTCCCCAGGGAACAGTGGTCCTTCCTTGCAAACACACACACTGAAAAGGCACCTAATGAATCTGGCTCCATTTTCATCTTTGTTGACACCTGGAGTCTGACGTGTGGATTTGCAAAAAGGCGCACAGGCTGAGGGATCAGGGATGCCTTAGGGCAGGGGTGGGCAACCTTTTTGTGAGTGCGTGCCAAAACCAGCAAAATCTCTGACTCAAAATTCTTCTGCATGCCAACCCTAATTTTTTGAGAACATGTTACGCCTACTTGATATCTCTTAAGGTGTACGTATGTGAAGAACCTTGAAGAAATAATAAAATTCATTCGAGCGACTAAAACAGTATATGATGATGAAAAATAAATTTATTTTTTAATGTATACATGTACACTGATAGTTCGACAGAAAACTTTAGGACTCCGTTTGATATTATCAGTGGGACTTTTGCTGCTGCATCACTGATGACCGAGATTTTACATCAGGTTTATATTTCGTGACCTTCAGAGATATGCACGAGCTACTACTTTCATCCGTCAGGCTACTCCTATTACGAGACTTAACAAAATTCATCACTGAGAACAAAGAGTCACAAGCGTATGTGGATGAAAACATGGAGAGTAACGCTGTTGCAAAGCTTTTTAAACAGAAAAAATTTTCTGGAATGGCATTCCAAGTCTTCAATAGTTCGTTTTTGGCATTTCTCTCTGGTACTCCTATCTCTAATCGCTTTTTTTTTTCAATGTTTTCCAAGTCAACTCTAAGGTCAATAAATTTCTGCTTCCAAATTGAGCTACTCTGAAATTCAATCAACTGCATTTCAAAGTCAGCCATGTCTATCCATGAAAACATTTGTAAGTTTAGTTCCTTCAGTTTCATGCTGTCTGGAAACCTCATGAATTTTGCTGTCTCTTCCAGTACTCTGAATTTCGCAAATCTTGAGAAGAACTGCTCAACAGTTGACTTGATGATGTTTAAAAACAGCTTTTGAAGGCTTTGACAGTCTGTTCTGTCATCTTTTGGGAGGTCTTTGATGTGCCTCTTGAGGTTTGGGAAATATCTAAATCTCTCACCATCCACATCCCTCTTAAAGACTTCCAGTTTCTTTTCAAAAGCCTTTATGTAACCAAATATAACATCAAGGGTCTTGACAGTTCCTTGAAATTTAACATTTAAGTCATTCAAATGTTCACAAAAATTGTAAATGGAAGATTATAAGAGAGGGTTTCGCGTGCCAGCAAAAGTTACTGACATGCCATGTTTGGCACGCGTGCCAGGGGTTGCCCACCCCTGCCTTAGGGTGTTATCCTTCCAGAACCACAATCAGATTCCCAACAAGAGCATTGAAACCAGAAACAAGCCATGATTTCCAGCGTGAAAAGTGACTTCTGCATGTTTAGAATGGTTAACTTTAAGCAAGTGTTTTTCACATGAAAAAATATGTTCCCACAGGTGATTCAGTCACACTACTCTGAGGCCATGAGCCACCCTTACTGTGGTTATCTTGTGGGCAGTTTCACAGACCTACCCAGAGCAAGGATATGGGCCAGGCACAGAGGTCGCCAGGGTGGAAGGCTCAGGTGTCTAGCAATGGACAACCAATTGTAGGGTGGGGCCTGGTCCCCAGGGTGACTTTTCCTCCTCTAGCTCCAGGCCCAGATAAGCAGCAAAATGCCAGGGCTGACATCAGGACCAGCTGCATTGAATAATGACCCCTGGCCTGGTGCCAGCCTGTCCATCAGTGGAGGCCACATCCCTGAATGGACACACCTGGAAGCTACAGAATATTCCGTTCAGCTCTTCCCCTGGGACCTCCCCTGAAATCTCCACCCTTAAAACCTTTACAAAGGATGACCCAGTGCGCTCTCCCTCCCTGGAGCACATCTGTACCTTCCCCTCCTTCTCCTCCTCCCCCAGGCAGGTTACCATTAGCTTGCGCTCCCAAGCTTCAAGGGCACTTCTGTTACCTCCTTAACTCCTTTCCTAAGCCCATTTCCTCTAAGACATACTTCTCCTACCTCTGTAATTAACCATTAAATGTTCTTTTACACTTTGGGTCTTGCCCTGTATTCTTACCCAGCTCCAGTGCTACAGGCACATTGTTCCCGGGCCTTAGTGCTGCTCCTGGTGCCCGTCACCCACTGAGGAAGATCCCCGTGGGGCAAGGGGCGGCAGGGATCCTTCTCTCTCAGCTCTAATAACTAAGGACCAGAAGCTCACTGTGACAGGACCTCCCGTGAACGATGGACAACCTCACATCGTCCGCTTCCAGTACGAGGTCACGAGGGGAAGGCCTCTCCCTGGGATGCAGTCCTGTGCAGCCAGAGCCTTTTTATAAAGATCCCAGGTGGAGTACTAGCTGGTGGGAGCAAAGACGGGCTGTCAGCACTGCTGGAGTTTGCCGAAGAGAAGATGAAAGCGAACTGTGTCTCCATCTGCATCAGGAAAGGCTGGGAAGACAGAGCTCCACTCCTGAAGACCTTCAGCTTCTTGGGCTTTCAGGTTGTACGGCCAGGCCATCCCTGTGTACCCTCTCAGCCAGATGTGATGTTCATGGTTTACCCGCTGGACCAGAACTTGTCCCATGAGCACTAACGGTCAGAGGATGCTTTGCCCAAGAGCCACAGTGGGGACAAGAGGGGGTTAGGCAGCCCTGGGACAGAGGAGGGGGCTCCTCGCTGACTAGGGAAGGACGCTGAGGGGCTCAGGGCGAGGGCTGCCTACTGTATTCTTGGTGTTGACTCGTTGAAATTGTTTTCCGTAAGGAACAGTATAAACGTATTATTCACATGTGACCACCAGTAGTAAATGAAGATGTTTATGAAGTGGCCTTCGAAGCTTTCTAAACTGCGCTGTGCGATGTGCTCTATCTGGCCTACGGGAAGGACATTGCCTAGAGGGGGAGGGACTATCTGGGTCTGGGGCAAGACCTGGAGGGGTGGTGGGTAGCACTGTCAGCCTCAGGCTCCCCAGCTATTAAGACTTGTGTATTTCCTTTCCTTGCTTCCTGTCACCCCAGGAGCTCCTGAGAATAGGCTGTGCAGCCCCATGGGCAGCCGTGTCCTCGAGTTGTTTTTTGAAGCCCCACCTGGGCTTCTGTGTGCATTTGTGTCCGGCCTGGAGAAAGTATGTCTGACCCTCTTTCTTTTCTTTTCATTTTTTTTTTTCAGTTTAATGTATTTTAATAGCAAACTTACAGGAACAGTACAGAAAACAGACAACATTAAAAACATGTACTTGCATGTAGGACAACGAAGTTAGCAAAGTATAGTAAATGGGTGGAATCTACTGTAAGATAAAAATGCTACAAACACCATTTATTTGCCATCAATAAGAAATTTACTTGTTTTTAAAAAAAATCCAAATGCTGGCATTGTCCAGAAAAATTTAACAGGCTTATTTATCCTAATATATAAAAACCCTGGTTGTTCACATCCACAAAGACCAGAGGCTCCACTAACCAGAAGTCAGTCCTGCAGTCAGCTGTGGCTGCAGGCGAGGTGACCCAGCACTGACTCCCGATGGGGCTGCGAATCGGGCCCAGAGAGAGGCCTGAAGAGAGAAGTAGGGTCTGATCTGTAGCCTCTGTGGCAGCTGTTGGTCAGCACTTGCCTCTCTCTTTCTCTCTGGTCCTGGCCAGCAGCCTTGCCTCCATTTCTCTCCAGGCCTCCACCTGGGCTGCTGATCCGCCCCACCTTTCTGATCAGGCCCCATTGATAGGCCCAGAGACGCTTAGTAGCGTAGAAACCGAGCAATCAGAACCAAATCTGGGTCAACTGTGAGGAGCTAATGGCTGCCTAGGAGGTGGACTTTTTGATGCTGACTGGTATAGAAACCGACCAATCAGAACCAAAATTGGTGGCAGGGGAGGTCAATTGGGGGCAAGATCAGGCCAGCAGGGGAAGGCAGTTGGGGGCAACCAGGCCAGCAGGGGAGGGCAGTTGGGAGCAAGATCAGGTCAGCAGAGGAGGGCTGTTGGGGGTGTGATCAGGCGGGCAGGGGTGAGCAGTTGGGGGCAATCAGGTTGGCAGGGGAGGGCAGTTAGGGGTGATCAGGCAGGCAGTTAGGGGTGATCAGGTCAGCAGGGAAGGGCAGTTGGGGGTGCAATCAGGTGGGCAGGGGTGAGCAGTTGGGGGTGATCAGGCAGGCAGGCAGAGGCAGTTAGGGGCAATCAGGCAGGCAGGCAGAGGCAATTAGGGGTGACCAGGCAGGCAGGCAGGTGAATGGTTAGGAACCAGCGGTCTCAGATTGCGAGAGGGATGTCCGACCTCCAGTTTAGACCCGATCCCTGTGGGCCTAAACCGGCAGTTGGACATCCCCAAGGGGTCCCCAATTGGATAGGGTGCAGGCTGGGCTGAGGGAACCCCACCCCCTCTGAGCACAAATTTCATGCACCGGGCCACTAGTATTGTGATAAAGTTGAACTGCTGAAACTTGTTCACTGAAACATTTGACTTGCATTAATGCTTCATGTCCCCACATTTATATTTACAAAATTCACACACAAATGAAAATGGAAAAACTGCCAATACCTGATTTCTGTCCCCTATTTTCAACTTGCAATCATATACTTAGGTACCTTTTGAGCCCATGGAAAAAAACAACAACCTAATGTTTAGAACTACAAATAAAAGGAAAACAATTTTTTTAAAGAATGAAATGTTTTCCATCATAGTGGATTCTTAAGCACGTTCTCCGTGTATGTGGCGTGCTAGCTGGATATCTTTTGGCATAATTGTTACACATTTGGCATGGATAGCACACAGGTTGGTGTCTTCAAAAAGGCC